TTCCCTACCTGTCCTCTGCCTCTCCCTCCTGCCCCACAGCCACTATAAATTTTGGAGAGTTTGCATGTCTGTTTGTCTGTCTGTCAGTTTGTGTCTGTTTGTTCAAGAACTCCTCCTAAATGGTAAAAGCCAAGATCACCAAACATAGCATGCACCTTCCTCTGATCCTACCTTAAAGCAAGGTCAGAGTAGCACGCAGCTTCCTCTGATCCTACTTTAAAGCAAGGTCAGAGATTAGGTATGCCAGGACAATGGGATGTATGTGGAATGAGACTGTTTCTCACCAAATGCAAAAAGATGAGTGTGATACCCTAGAATGAATATGGGAGTGAGGGGTGAACAAATGTCCCAGCTCTGGGTCAGAAAAGGGCAACAAAAATGATTTGAGGTTTGGAACAGGTCCCATAAGAAGAGAGGTGAAAAAGACTGGGACTGTTCAGCCTAGAAAAGGGGAGACTAATGAGGACATAGGATTGAGGTCTATAAAATCATGACTGGTGTGGAAAAAGCGAGTAAGGAAAAGTTATTTACTTAGTCCTGCAATATAAGAACTAGGGGTTACCAAATGAAATTAATAGATAGCAGGTTTAAAACACACAGAAGGAAGTTTTTCTTCACTCAGCACACAGTCAACGTGTGGAACTCCTTGGCAGAGGATATGGTGAAGACTAGGATGTTAACAGAGTTCAAAAAAGAGCTACATAAATTCATGGAGGTGAGGTCCATCAATAGCATTGACCATTGTCAGCAGACAGGACACTGGACTAGATGCACCTTTGGTCTGACCCAGTCTGGCCGTTCTTATGTTTTCGTGGTCCCCGCCAACCCAGCCTGCCCCGGGAACCAGCTGCCAAATGAACTGTGCAGTCCATTGTCCCTGCGCCAGCTGCGCGTGCCACTCCCTGGCTGAGCCTGGGGAGAAGCCAGCAGGCAGGCTTCATTGCTTTCTCTGCCACCAGCCCATCCCCAGGGAGCAGCCACTGGCCACCTCCACTCCCTGTCCTAACACATTCATCCCCCACCCCCTTCCCCGAGTCTGCCACCTTCTTCCCTGAGCCCTCTCTACCTTACAGCCCCCTGCCCTGACTCCTGTACCCCCCCTAACCACAGCCCCTTGCTCGGAGTCCTTCTTTGATGGCCTAAGCAACACTAGGTAAATCTGCTAGTTCACAACAACTTATTTCACCAAATCTCCCTTTCAGTGCAGTGAGAGCAGGGGGCAGGACCAGTTTTCTTGAATAAATTATAGGAGCACAAAGATAGATTCTGAATCAGATCACAGGAATAGCCTGGTGTCACCTGACAATGCAAGGAGAGGAAAAACAGATCATATTCACTTTGAATTTATAGTTCAACATCCACCTAAAACAAATCTGCCCTGGGATTATTGGATTATTTTCCAGTTAAAAATTCACCCACGGAATAAATGCCTACTAGGCGATACCACCGAGCAATGGTGCTCACATTCTTGTGACAGGATCTCACCTACCTCTTGAGTCTTAGAAAGAAGCTTCGGAACCATTTTGAGATCTCCCAGGTGCTCCCAGGTTTTGTAAAACCCTCATCCATTCTCCTCTAGCTAGCTCACATGGCCGGTGTCTTTTTCATCTGCAAAATTCTTCCTAAAAGATGGCAGAAACCCAAACCTGACTCTAAGCCTTCCCTTCCAGGTGTCAGTGGAAATTGTGTTTATTCCTCATTGAGCTCTGAAGTGGAATGTGTCTCTCTCCAGGTCTTAAAGGAGGTGGGAAGTGAAAGTAGAGAAATACCTGGACTGCTGGGCTGATTTCAGTCCCTCCCTCTCACAGCCTCATGACAGGACAGAGATACGGGTCTTCCCCCAAAACAGCCCTGCTAGGGTGCTAGATGTGCCAGGGCCCCAGTCTGGAGGATGGCAATGACAATTTCTAAGAGGCCTTGCCTCTGGCTCTGTGAGGACTGCTCTGTTCTGCCCTGGGAATAGTGTATTTTCCAGTTTGTGAGGACTTTGTGAGGACTTTGTGAGGACTGCTCCGTTCTGCCCTGGGAATAGTGTATTTTCCAGCTCATGCTCCAGGTGCAAACTCCCCCTTTTGTTTACTTAAGCAACAAGCAACCTTTGTACCTCTGCCCTGGAGTTTCCGGTGAAGCGGGTGTCATTATTGCAGGAAGGTTGAAGGTGCGAGCCCAGCCCATCCCTGTTCTCAGACTGGAGCTGAACTGGGACTGAACAGTTTTAGTTGGGTCTAAGCTCTGACTGGCCAGCAGAAACAGGGCTCTCCTGGTCTAAGTTGTCATGGCTCCTTCCCCACTCTGGCATGATAAATGCAGAAGTGGGGGCCAGCAAGTGTACCCCAAAGCCTTATCTACCAGGCTTTGGTATAAAACTTCCCCCAAAATCTTAAAAACCTAGATCTTGGGAACAAAACTTCCGCTGCCACCACACAAATGTTGATAAAGAAATCAGGGGGAAGATCATTTGGGAAATCTCACCCCTAAGATAAAAATCAAGGCACACAATTAACCACTGCCAGGTTACTAAAAGAAAAGAAAGAACTTTTATTATTACAACAATATTCCTGTTGCAAACATAATGACTAGATAGGGAGGTAACAAAATATACTCATGGAGAAACTCCATGGGCCTAGAACTTAGTTATAAAGAAAAGCCAAAACATCTTTTAAGCAGTGCCAGATCTCAGATCCCATACCCAACCCTTAAAACAATAAAGCCTAACAAAACTACCTAAACTGTACCCTACTTACAGAAAATGAAGAATGATGTGCACCTGGCACGGGCACCGTAGCCAGCCCGTGCCCCTTTAAGGGGTCCGGGGCCGGGAGGGGGGCATAGAGTTTCCCTGGTGTTGGCCAGAGTGGCCACCAGGGAAACCTGGGGAGGGCTAGCCTCCCACTAGTTCGAACTAAAGGGCTACACAGCCCTTAGTTCGAACTAGCTAGTTCGAACTAGGCGTTAGTCCTCGTAAAATGAGGTTTACCTAGTTCGAACTAAGCGCTCCGCTAGTTCGATTCAAATTCGAACTAGCGGAGCGCTAGTGTAGCGCATAGGAAAGTTAGTTCGAACTAACGTCCGTTAGTTCGAACTAACTTTCTAGTGTAGACATACCCAGAGAGAGAGACATGCTTGTCCCTCTCTCTAGCTGTAGAGAACTCTCCCAGGGTATGTCTACACTACCCTCCTAATTCAAAATAGAAGGGTAATGTAGGCATACCGCAATTGCAAATGAAGCCCGGGATTTGAATTTCCCGGGCTTCATTTGCATAAGCGGGGCGCCGCCATTTTTAAATCCCCACTCGTTCGAACCCCGTGCTGCGCGGCTACACGGGGCACGAACTAGGTAGTTTGAACTAGGCTTCCTAGTTCAAACTACCGTTACTCCTCGTGGAATGAGGAACAAGGCTTGAAACAGCATGGAAGCCATGACTGCCCTGATAGTGATTAGATC